AAAAAATAATAAATGTACTATTAATTCTAATATACAAAATATAGAAATCGATGTGGCTATATATGTATGTAGTCTCCATATCTCTCTAGTTAATACGAATTCTCTGCTCTCCTTGCAGCCATTTTGACCCACATCTGCACTGTGCTGATCACATTTGTTACGCTGGCTGTTTATGTTAATCTGCCGCACGAATCGCGCTCGAATTTCGATGCCAGCCATCTGTTTGCTGCGCTGGCGCTGTTCCAGCAGCTGACGGTGCCGCTGCTGATCTTTCCCATAACGGTGCCCATTATCATTGCCGCGCGGGTGTCCACACGCCGGCTGGAGCGCTTCCTGCACGCACCCGAGATCCAGAAGCAATTCGAGGGCATACGCAATATGGCGCGCATCCTCAGCAAGAGCGACGCCTCGCTGGACATGTACGAGACGCAGGAGAAGTCGAATATGGCGCTGCGCACGGCCCAGGCGGAGAACCGGCTGAACGAGCAGCGACAGGCGCTGCGCATTCGCATACCCGAGACGCCGCCATCGCCGGCACCGCTGGCTCAATCGGAGCCCATAACGCCGCTGCTGCTGGCGAGCAACGGCGAGGCCGTCGAGGAGAAATCGCCGCCTCTGTTCGGCCACGAGCTGGGCCACCAGAAGCTGGTGCAGCATCGCAAGGAACTGTTGCGCAACACGCCCTATGTGGCCATACGGCCGCCCAAACTGTTCGGCGGCCCCGTCGAGCGGCCCATCGAGTTCTCGGTGGTGCGTGCCCGCAACACGGACAGCTGGCGGCGCGACTCTCTGCTGCTGAAGATGCCCGACGACATCGCCGTGTCCATCAACGACGGCCTCTTCACCTGGCAGCCGCAGTGCCGGCTGCCCAATGTCCAGCTGCACGTTCAGGAAATGGCCATACCCAAGGGCAAGCTGACCATCATTGTGGGCAAGACTGGCAGCGGCAAGACCTCGCTCCTGTCCGCCCTGCTCATGGAGATGCCGCTGCTGGCGGGGAATATGTTCTGGCACAAGTGAGTACAAGCTTGTATTTCCCTTTTTCATTTACTACAGAGTCGGTGGGGGAAAATGGGATTTACATACATACATATGTATATGTATGATATATGTATATTACATAAAGCGTAAAGCTATTTTATAGAGTACGGTCTTATACATTGAATATACATCCACATATGTTGATAGACTCGAGGACTATCCATCGAAATTCGAAGCCAAAATAGAATTGTAATTAAAAAATACAAAATCTTTATCTGGCTTGAAATCAGCAAGCTAATTAATTTTCTCTCGTAATTATCATAAATAACTTAATAATGATCAGTCCAAGTTTAGCATTTCGTTTATTTATCATCTTTATTTATGGCTTTATACATTATTTTGAAAGCCATAAAAATCGATTGAAAAATAACTCAAAAGTTGTAGCCGAAAACAAATTGCTAATGTAATATATATGTATATGTATGTGTATATATATGTACGTGTGTACCTGATTATGTATAGATACATTTTGTTTATATTTTGAAGTAGGTACTGTATATATACATATATAAGTCTATATATATTTGCGTATATTTGTGCAAATTATTTCCACTTTCATTTGATAATCAAAATACAAACTGTTAAAGGATTTATGCAGCCTGAATCAGAGAATCAGAAATAGAAACGTGCACAAAAATAGAATAAAATAAATGAAAATATTTTTCTTAACTTTAAATTCCTCAAAGAGTTATATTGCTTTAGATAAAGATATATACATTAATATTTATTTGTGCCAAATTGGCCAATTAATTAAGCAATATTATAAGCTAACTGAATTTTTGAAAATACTTAAAATATTTATAAAATTCTCACTTACTTTTAAAAGTTTATAAACTGTGAATATATAATTGCATGACTATAGCTAAAATTATAATTTCTACTAAATGTATTTATCAATTTTAT